TATCCAACAACTAACTAATCCATATAAGCCGATGTAACACTTAGAACTAGTAACCAGATAACTCATCGGTTAGCACTCCAATGAAACATAAGCAAGAAACGTATCGGCTTAACAAGACTTAGATTATCAATACAATCTAAAAGATCAGACCTAACCGAGACAGTACAAAATTGCGTGTGATAATCTAAACTCGATGAATCGATAGATCTATGCAAACCTGATGGATATAACAAATCTATCTTAAAATAGCATTATCTTTAAAGAGACGCCAACTTGATCAGAATATCGGACCGAACGAAGGAAGTCCTAACTAAGTCAATGTGACTCTAAACAATAATGCAATCAAAAGTAGAGACGATATACCAGATAGGCAACACTTGCTTCGGTCCGAATAGAATATCGGACCTAACCGAGGAAGTCCTAGCCACGCCGATGCAAGCGAAGATGACGGAACTTACTTCTCGCCAGAGGTCTCGGACTAAACCGATGCAGCCCATGCTCGAAATTAAGAACTCGACAGGAGTAAATTAGGGTGGCGATATGTTGAAAGTTGTATTGATCTAGAGATAGATTAGAAGAACCCTAGATGTACATATTTATAACATATTTATAACCTCGAGCCAATATGAATCCCCATCATAAATGACTCATGTTTCCTAAAGATAAAACACAAGTCCTAATCAGACACTAACCAAACTTTTTAAAGATAAAAAGAAAAAAAATACTAAACCCTGCATAATTAATAGATAAATTAAGCTGCCATGCCATGGTCTTCACGACTCCTTCTTGAACTTGGTCTCTTCTGGACAGACTTTCCATCGGTTGATTGTGTTCTTTCCCTAACCAAATCCACTAAAGAATCTTACCATATTTTGGCATTAACACCTAGCCATCCTTTTTTTTACACCTCAATCTTAGCCATTTACCCATTTCCCTTTCTCAATCCCATGTCTCATAATCCTTTTGCCAAAATATGCCCTATATGCATCTCTCTATGATCTCTTATCACGTTGTTGTGCCTCTTTCCCCATCTTTACAAACTCGCTTCCCAATCTCGCCATGTTCTCTCTCTCCTAAGGTGTGTCACTCTCTCTATGTGCTTTTTATCTGCTCTTCAGTGCCTTACAACCTATAAAGTGAATATTGGACTCTATGCTGGTCCTTGGGCAAGCAAGTAAACCCCTTTCTCATTGAAAACCAACCATGTGCCTTTGCTACAACTCATGTTTTGCAAATTACATAGAGTCCATGTCGTTTGCATCTCTGTCACGAATCATGGCAATTGCTTTGGCATCTCGCCAATTGGTAGAGATTTCATGGGGATTTCATGGAGAAAGGAGAAAGCAAGACAAGGAAGCTAGAGGCAGAGGTAAGCGGAGATCGGTAGGGGTATTCAATTTTCTCTTCTTCGATACCATAGCCCGTCGAGTCAATAGGTCTTTTACCATTTACAACTGGGTTTCGCCCAAGACAACCCACGAGGCCCATGGCCCATACATCATTTGACCCCAACAACACAACTCATGCTTCCAAGGACACAAAAATTCCCCCCTCATAAGAACCGGCTTGTCCCTAAGCTGGTGCATCTTGGAATCGTTGTCATAGCTGGCACAGGTTTTCCCAGGTTGCCAACTCCATTGGCAGTCTGGTCCATTGTATCAAGACATGAGGAATCATTGCCCTACCACTCTTGATCAGTTGGTGTTGAAGCACTTCTTCAGGCACGACTTCAGCTGTAGTATCAACATAATTTAGGGAGATCAGTAATTACTTGCGTTCCAACCTTCAATGCCTTTTTTAGCAACCACAAATGAACAACCAGATGTATCTGACTACACACTAGGAGCTCCAATTTGTATGCCACAGCTCTCACCCAATCTAACACTCTGTAGGGGCCATAGTATTTGAAACTGAGTTTATGATAGGAACGTCATGCTACAGTTATCTGCATATAGGGTTGGTGTATCAAGAGTTGGTGTTTCAGGTATACTAGATCCCCCAATTCTAACCACCTCTCAGTTCTGTGTTTGTTGGCTTGATGAACCACCATTGTTGTGCCTTGATCAGTTGATGACGTAGAACCACATTCAACTGTGAGTATTCCTGTAGCCAAACCTGCACATCAGGCATTATGCTCTGCCCCAGATTCACTTCACCAAAATAAGTGTGCTTTCTGGCAAATAAAATTTCATATGGTTATTTTCCAAGGGCTCTATGGAAATCAGTGTTGTATCAATGTTGAGCTTGAGAGAGCTATTGTGATCATTTAGTCAGGCAAGCATGAACATCACACCACAAAAATGCTTCAACGCATTGATTTAGCATTTCTGATTGCCCATCTGTCTAGGGATGATAGGATGAGCTCATGTTCAATTTCACATATGCCAATTTAAATAGTTCTTTTTTTACGGGAAGTTTAAATAGTCCTTGCCACACCTATCTCTATTAGATATAATAATTTTAGGCATGTCAAAGTCTCATAAATATTGGACATGAAAGCTTGGGCTACAGTAAGTGTTGTGAAAGGATGAGATAGGGGAATCAACTAGGCAAACTTTGTGAATTTATCAATGACCACTAGAATAATATAAAATCTGCCTGACTTAGGTATTTCCCAAACTTGTAGGGGAACATGGAGTGGTCGTAACAAATCTGGAGCCATGCCATGTTCAGCTTTTGCTTGTTGGAAAACTTCACATTGTTCTAAACATCCTTCTTAAACCCTGGCCATGTAAACTTTGATCCTTTGGTAAGCTGCTGCCATGATAGAGTGGCCACCAATTCCACTTTTCATGTGGAGACATCATAACATCATGTTTAGCCTCTGTATGTGCACCTAGCCAGATTTTACCATGGAACCTAATCACCCTTTTGACCAACTGAAACCAATCCTTTCCCACAGGACTCAAACTCAATTCAATCAGCAATTGTTTTGTCACTAGATCCTTAATGTATCCTTCTATCACACTCTCTAGTCATTTAGGATTCATGCTTTCCGCGTGTCCTCCCCTCTCTCTCTCTCCATCTTATCTCCTCACACAATCACACGCACCCTTCCCTATCTCTCTCCACACAAGCCCGACGATGACACCCCTCCTCCGGTGATGGCCTTCCAGCGAGTCTCCTCCTCCTCCTTATTGCGAGCTCCATCGTTGGAGAAAAGGAATCACAGTCGAGTTGCCTTCCTCCTTCGATGACGGCGGCTGCAAAGACCTCTATCTAGCGATCCCCCTCCTTCCTCCCTCCGAAAAGCTTCCTCAATCAACCAAGTCAGTTCCTTTTCTCGCTGTCGATCCTCACTATGCCATCGCCTGGTATCACCGGCGCCAAAAGGCATCAAAATGATGGTGCTGTCCCGCTCAGCTGGCCTCCTCCCCCCCCCCCTCCACCTCGCTTTGCCCTTGCCACCAACACTAGCCTACTGCCCGTTGCCGACCCCACGGCTCCGGCGATGCCGCTGCCGCCGCCTTGCAGGCCAATACTCTAAGCCCGATCCCCCACTTACCCCTCCCTAACAAAACCCTTCGCTCACCCCACCCTGAAACCCTAACCCTACCCCTACCCCTACCCCTACCCTGAGCTTGTTGTCACACAGCAGAAAACTGTGCGCAACTTGCGCCCCTTGCGTGCACACGAATTAGGATTCCTGGAACGCGACTACAAACTATGCATCTTCCTCCTAGAAGAGGGGTCGGAGGTGATGGAACTATGTTTTTCAATCCTACCGCCTCGAGAGTTCGAGCTACCTCACGTGGGTTTCTTCCCACCATCTCTCGTTCATGTTGTGGTGTGCCTGTTCATCAAAATACAAGAATTAATGAAGTGCATATGTTGTGCTTGTCGTATCGTTAAAATTCACCACTACAAAAACATTTTTTCTGCACAAGAACCCTTATAAGTTGCAGGTGGACTGTAAATAAACCTGCCTCCAGCTCGGGAGGGGCGGATCTAGAGCCTGGTGGAGGAGGCAAGGGGCGACGGCAACAGCGACGGGCCCTCCCCCGCGCGGATCTGACGGTGGCGGTCGTCCCCTAAGCGGATCCGGTGGTGTGCACGGGAGAGGCCAACCACGAGCAGGAGCAGCGACAGTAGGCTCGGGAGCAGCCGACCGCAGGTGGGAGCGGCTGCCTCCGGGTTCGGGAGGGACGGATCGAGAGCTTGATGGAGGAGGCGTGGGGCAGCAGCGGTGGGGCCCTCCCTCATGCGGCCCTACGTGGATCCTGCGATGGTGGCAGGAGGAGCCTGACAGAGGAGGTGAGGGCGACAAAGAGGAGCGGTGGTGGACTGTTGCGACGATGTCGCCGGCGGATAGCACCTAGCTAGGGTTTGGAGTTTTGATTTTTGGGGATTTTTATTTTTTTTATTTTATTTTTACGTGCAGACGACATAAACACTTGTACGCAAAAATAGTGATTTTCATAGACACTTTCGGGTAGACGAGCGGCCCACCCACACGCAAAAATAGGTTTTGGCCGTATGAAAAAAAAAACTTTTTTAGTAGTGACTCTCACTAAGTTAACTTACGAGTGTTAGCAAATATATATGGTCTGACCTGTTTAGGAGGCTTATTTAACATGCCCCCACAACTTATGAAGCATTTTGGCCTCACTGGCAAAAAAAAAAAAAAACTTGCGAAGCATTTTTCCCAGTCTTGTTATTTATCAGTTACCTGGTTTTCTTTCCCTACATGTCCGGCATTTCAACATACGCAAAGTATAGCCTAAACTTGCACGGTTTGAAAAACTCTTTTGTTTCCTTTGTATTTTTATTTCCTGCATTGAACTAAATGCGTTTTTATGCTTATTAAGATCAAATTGTTTATTCATGCCGGTAAGGATCCACCAAAATACAATCTTTGAATTTTGAGCTATAGCATGTTTTGTTTTGTAAAAAAAAGAATGGCATATGATTCATTAGTTTGTTGGATGTCGATCAAATATAACAGTTGAAGAAAAACGATTGATAGCTAATGATGTTCCTCGCTAAACCCAATGCAACAGGGTCTTGACCGTCCACGATTACAGCATCGAGAGTGTTGAGGCAGTGTTGAACTCCACAACTAGTATGATTGAAACCTTTACGGCTTTCCAAAAGTCTGCGAAAAAGCATTCCACTGCTGCCTTCGTGTTCAGTTCGATGTGTGGTATTGTGCTGATGGTGCTCGCGCAAATAGTAGTGGTATTCCTCGCACTTTTAATTGAAGCTGTGCTGATCATCAATATGCTTGGGCCGATGGCATCCATGGTGATCTCAATGACCCGCCTAATACGGCACGATTATGGTGATGACAATGGAAATCTCAGAGCAGCCTTGTTCATATTTTACTCCCTAGCTCTGGCTCATAGTGTGTGCTTCTACTGCTGGTTCCTGCTTCAGTATTTCCTTGAGAAGTTGTCCAAGTCGGCAAGCAAAGAATTCGGCCTTAACAAGGACTTTGGGGGCCAAAAATTGCTCCTTCAATACCTCCGAGAAACCAAAGCCAAGTGTGCAGATGATCTGAGCTTGCCCGGTGGCTGGAACATGGTCACATATGCTGTCGGATTGCTGAAATCCGTGTCCCGGGATGATCATCTGGATGGTTTACGGATGCTTGATGCATTCGTCGTCAACAAGAGGCCATCCATAAGACTGGAGCTACTGTCCTCCAGCGAATCCATCCAGAATCTGATCAAAATGCTTCAGTGGACTGACCCGGCACTGGAGGACCAAGAGATGAGAGAACGCGCCGCAAGGATCGTGGCAGATGTTGCCACGGGTGCATTACACATTGTTCAGATACCAGGTGCCCTGCAGTGCATATCTTCTCTGCTTCAAGTATCTCCACTAAGACAATACTGCCAAGAGGTTGAAAAAGGTCCACAGAAACAGGATCAAGACAAGGAAGGAGGAGAAGAAGAAAAAGACAAGAACATGAATACTGCAATAGATGAGCAGATAACTGACAGGCTTCTAAGGATGGACAGAAGAGCGAAGAAATTCTTATTTGGGACGATGGATGACAAGAGCTCCTTCAAGCCCCAAGGCACTAGAGAGTTGATTCATCAGGGCCTACAGATACTTGAGAGGCTCGCATGTGACGACCAAAACTGCAGAGAGATCTGCTGCAACCAACGGCTGCTTACCAAGATCATTGCGCCAATCACTTCTCCTGCTTTACTTCACACAGATTATGACAATGCATGGGTTGATATACTGAGCATTTTGCTGAAGCTGGTGAGGCTGCTCATCAGTGCTCCTGGAGAAGCTGGCACAAGGGTATGCCATGATATCTCGGCTTGTGAGGACGCGGTCCGCAACTTGTTGGGGATTCTTGGCCAAAATGCAACTTATCCCATGCAACTTCAGGAAAATGCCATGGAGATTCTTACAGAAATAGCAATTGGTAGCCCTGCAATCATGGCGGAGGATTTCATCAGGAAGCTGTGGTGCATCTTCCTTTCCAACAGAGGAACAAGCAGATTGAGGAGAAAAGCAGGAGAACAACTTGCAAAACTGCTTTCTGCTCAAGGTGCAAATGGGCAGGTATTTGTCAAGGATGTATTTTGTGAAAATGATACAGTTGTTGCTCAACTCATTGATATACTTGTTCAAGACAAGGAGTGCCAGATAAGTGCGGCAGCAATATTGGAGCACTTATGTTGCCATTTTGTTAGGTACAATGAACTATCAGAGCTATGTGTGGTTAAACTGTTGAGAATGGTAAACTTCTACTATTTTCTTTTACTAAAACCATTAACACGAATTAACCAAATGCAGTTATATGACACTTGATTATAAGTATACTGTTAATATATTATTATTCCTGCAGATACTTGATCTAATTAGTAAAATGGAAATAAAGGAGGAAACTGTACCAGGGGCAGGGGAAAGCAATAGTTTTGACGTACATAACGATGAAGAAAGCAAGCCTCCAAAACAATCTGGTCCGAAGAAGCCCTGGGTTCCGAAAAATGATGAGCTATCTGAAGAAACGAAATTTCTAGCAGCTCTGATGTCCCTTCTTGTGGTGATATGCAACAAAATGGTTGATGCACATGTATTTTGTTATGTCACATCAGTGGATGCAGCACTGGTGAAGAAGCTCAAGAAGATAATCGAAGCAAATAACAAAAACACAGCTGACTGTCTAAGAATAGTGAAACTTGCCTGTCAGGTGGTTATAGCGATAATTCATCTCAAACCTAGCTGCATCAAAGACTTCAATGGAAATCATTTCGATGCTGTACTGTCCACGGCTTTGAAGAACATGTCAGACATCGATAACTGCATGCTCTTTGCAGTCCAAGATTGTCAGATAACAAAGCCTGCCAGAACTCTCTCTTCTCTTGTAAAAGAAGCCCAGGGACTCCTCCAGAATGCACAAGATGTAACAGTCCTATCTGATTAAAATCATGTATTGCATCTCCAAGAATAACAGATCATCGAGTGTACTACTTGTCATCTGAAGACTGAAGTTATCTATTTTCTGAACTACACGAGCAAATGGAGTGTGCTGCCGTGTCTATTTTCTGTACCTAGTGTGCAAATGGAGTGTACCTTCTATATTCTGTACTATGCATGTCAATTGTCGAACATTGTATGAATACTTTAAAAGTGTAGTATCTCTGAAACATTTATTGACATAAGTACTGTTATATGTTTGGAATGGCAATGTTATTATTGATTGTTTCAAAACTATGGTCTGAAGTTCATGTTGAGCTCAAATCTAAATTGGTGGATCCAGCCCATAATTGTAAGTATGCCATAGCAGTGAGTGAGTCAATATGCATTCTGTAAGATATATAACAGAAATTCTTACAGACAGAGCGGAAGATCATTTCATATATTCAACACATGTATTCTCTCTTACGGAAATTCTTACAGTTAGAGCACTAGATCCATTTCAGTCCAGAAATTCTGTCTTATTCGAAACAAAAGCAATAGATCATTTCATATATTCAACACATGTACTTAGAATTTGAAACAATTTAGGATTAAAAATACACCGTGCTAGGACGTACTTACAGTTAACGCCTGCTGCTGCGGCTTCTTCACCTGTTGCCCGATGCTTTTGTCGACGGGCACGGCAAGCCGTCCGCAAACCACCACCGCATGCTACAAGCCTACAAAGGATGATAATTAAGGGAAGTACGAACATAAGGCACCAACTGATACACATTACGCAGCCAGCGCACACACTACATGCAATGTCAGGTACAACTCTGATGGCATACTACAGACAAAGCGTACATAACAACATGAAAGAGTTAACAGAGTTCAATACAACAAATTACACCCTAGGAGGATAAGCTCAGATCACAATCAGTTCATAATCCCTGCCTAAAATACACATAAGATGCTGTTGCTTCACAAAAAGGGGGAATCACGGCGAGCCTATGCTGCATCCACCTTGACCAGCGCTGTACTCGGTGCCTCCGGGGTAGCTGGTAAATACTGAAGCCAGTCTTTGGCACAAACGAGCGCCTCCACAATTTCTGGACGCGATGAGCTTCTGTAGTCATCAAGCATGCGAGTTCCAGTTCCAGCAGAGAAAATAGAGTTGCCGCTGCTCACCATCGACATCGGAATGGCCAAGATATCCCGGGCCATCTTTGAGAGAGTAGGGTACTTGAGAGTGTTGAGCTTCCACCAGTTCAGAATGTCAAATTCCTGGATGCGCGGAGTGAGGGACTCATCCAGGTACTGTTCCAGTTCAGATTTTGTTGGCTGGCTTGTAGCTATCTCAGAAAGGTACATATCGAAGTCCACAAGTCCATCGCCGGTTGAAGGAGCAGTTGCTTGAGTACTATTCTCGCTAGCAGGTGCATTATTACCTCCCCCTTGCTCAACGTAAGCCGGCGTTAAGGGGAGGGGCTGTGCAACATACTCGTTGTAGAGCTCATGAACAGCATCATCCACCACCTTAACATATTTCGCAGCTTCAACACCATAAATTTTCGAGTAGCTGAACTCAACGAGCTTCATCTTGAAGCGCGGATCCATCACAACAGCAATAGCTAACACAAGGTTGCAATCTTTCCAGTACTTGTCAAATCTCTCGTGCATATCCTTGGCAATGCTGCTGAAAACAGGGTCTTCACGCCCTGTGGCATTTGACAGCTCGAGCTGAAGTTTCCATGCCTCATGGAAAAAGAGATTTGAAGTTGGATTTGCTGCAGCCATGATGCTATGTGCTGAGTCATACAATAGCTTCAAGTAATTGCAGGCAGCCTCAACTTTTTTCCAGTCCTCAGCGGACGGTGCCTCGTTGTAGTTATCATCACTTGTCTCTAGAGTAGAAAAGGCCTGCTTATAATCCAAGGCAGCCAGCAGCATGAGATAGGTAGTGTTCCACTGTGTCGTAACATCCAGACAAAGGGTCTTGGTACTTGGGATCTCTAGTTGCAGAGCAATCTCTGCAAACTTCTCCTCACAGCTAGGAGAAGCTTTTATGAACTTAATGCTTTCGCGGATATTATAGATGACACCATGAATTGAAGCAATGACATCCTGAGCAACTGCATTCAGGATATGGGCATAACACCTTACAACAAATAGTTGGCCCTTGAGCATGAGGTTGTTCTTGTTGGAGAGATAATCCCTCAGATTCGCACTGTATATATCATGTGATGAGCAATCATTGTCCAATGTGATGGTGAATAGTTTGTCCTTCATATTCCAGTCTGAAAGGCTTGTACTAATAGCTTCACTAAGTGCATTCTCTGAATGAGGAGAAGACACCATCATGAAGTTTAGCATTCTTCGATGCATCTTCCACTCAGAGTCAATAAACTGCCCAGCAAGTGAAACATAGCCAAGAGTTTGGCTAGTTGTCCACAATCCAATAGCGAGGCTGATCCTTCCAGGCATAGTGTTGAATGCTTGCATGAGGTTTTCCTTTTCTTTCTGGTAAACAGCATACACCTCCCACTCCATTGTCTCAACATCTACAACCCTGAAACGTGGCTGCAGACTGTCAATAAAGGTAGTGAAGGCTGGCTGTTGAACAATGTGAAGTGGATAGTCATGCAAAATGATCATCTTCGCCAGATATGAGCAACTGCGTTCTTGATCAAAAGCAGCATTTGCATAACCAGTATATCTGTAACGCCTCTTAGACGGGCGCTCCACAGTACCCTCACCATCATTGTCAGTCCCTCCAGCTGGAGTCAGTAATAGCTTGTGCTCTTGGTTCTTAATTTTAGGACATGAACCCAAGGTAATGTGCCTCTTGAGATGGCTAGTGCCCGCAATTTTTGAACCAGAGCTGTAAGCAAAAGTTTGCTTGCACAGTTTGCAGCACGCCCGTGTAGCCCCTCCAGAGACAGCTTCAATAGTGAAGTGCTCCCACACTAGAGACTTCTTCCTACGGCGCCTTGATGTTGGAGGGATACTCATCTCAGCACTGACCAATTCATTTCCTTGGACCTCGTCACCTTGAATTAAGTCCTCCGCAAGGACCAATTCATCACCCTGAACTTCCTCAGCTAGAGCTTCCCCATTGCTTGGAACAATCTCGTTGCCTTGAACCACCAGGTTGTCGTTGCTGGTTTCCTCAGCCATGCTTCTTGGCTAGTAGCTAGAACTCACAAAATCTATTAAATAGTAACATGGTAACAGCAGAAGTCAGTATAACAATCATTTGGCCAAAAAAAAATTATCGAAATTGACTTATACACGGTTGTTTCAATAACAAACCAGTGTCACTACAGTGGCCTATTTAACAAAACAGGAAGACAAAAGAAAGACAACACGATTTCTTGATAACAAATTAGCAAACCAGGTTATAGCAACTGGAGCACAGATGAAACAACAAAAATATAGATGTCATAGGAATATATGGAAACTTAGACTGGGAAACATCTCTTCTCACTCCTCAGTAAAAATGCTTAAAGTACACAATTTAAATTAAATTTTATTTGCCACCGAAAGTGCAAACTTCATGAGCAGATACATGTGCTACGTTGTTTCCACAGTTGAGATATATTGACCCAACCATTAACTTCACCTATCAAGTTCATAACCTGAGCACCACATGTGTTTAGCAGAACACAGTGGCTGCTGATAATGAATTGCAGTAGTTGAATAGCACTGATAATGATATCTCACTAATGAACTGCATTCCCCAACCAACCTGATGAATAAACTGAAACAAATCAAGACCAAATATGATAGGAATAGGTTCATGAGTGCTATAACCACACAGCACTATAAATCTTTTTTGAGTTTCTAGTTTCATGAAAACAAAAACATCTAGTCTAAGATGATGAAAAACAAAAAGTAAGGACAATAAATTTAAACCTATTTCCAACTTATTTTTCATACTTGAAATGCATCGCTTGGGTAATAAAACTTCGGATGGTTTCTTTATTTATAAACTTGTAAAAATTCCAGGCATGATTAAAATTAACTCTTCATTTATAAAAACATCTCATTGCAAGTTAAACACTGAACTAACAACTTAGAGTTCTATGATATATACCATTTCTGAGTTTTTCTTTTCTTTGATCAGACTTTTAAGATCTTAACTTAGCAACAGATGAACTAACATACGCTCTGAATAGTGAAAGAATCAAGAAAATCACTTTGCAGCGAACTTAACCATACAAGTTCTAACAGCAGGAGAAAAGATATCCATGTACATATATGGAACTAGACAAGACATTGATTGAAAAGTATATACAGTTAAAATGCAGTAGAAATCAAGCATCTCAAACAGAATGTATCAAGCCATTCCACCAAAGAACCCCAAAGAAGGCATGTATGGCATATCAACTGCTATGCTTCTGTCCACACACGAGAAGCGGGTGAGGAGAGGATCAAGGTGTACCTGGTGCCGTGGATCTGGGCTTGAAGAAGACTGTTTCGACTCTGTGCAGCACTGTACAGCGGGGATGAAGGGAGGAGGCGCCTGCACCGAGGATGGAAGGGAGGCGGCGCCGGCACTGGGAAGGAAGGGGATGCGGTGCCTTAGGGGAAGCAGGCGGATGCGGTGGGAGGCGCTGGCGCCGCCGCCGGTGCGCGACGAGAGGAGGCGCCGGCGCGCGACGAGACAACAAGGAGAGGCGGCGCGGGAGCCGCTCGAGAAGAGAAGACGGGAGGCGGCCCGGAGTGGTGGATTTCCACCGGTTAAGTTAGTGGATGGATTTCTCTAGGGTTTGGGGTGTAATGGGCCGGCATATCCACCTTCCGGGGCCGAAATTTTACCAGGATTAAGTTCACCGGTAGTACCTCAACTTTTATATTGAGTTGTTTGACGTCCCTTATCTCCAATACCAGAAATCTTCAGCCCTAACATATACAATACCGTGTATTTTGGGTCGTGTAGCAGTATGGATAGCTGGTTTCGCTGACGTGATATCCTAGTCAGCAAAATAAAAATAGAGTAAAAGTTGCAGTCTTGTGATAATTTCCCCACGCTATTGTTGCAGCAAACCGAAATATATTACATGTTACAGCAAACTGATAGTTTTATCACTATAGTTGCAGTTTTCTGAAATACACTCATAAAAATAATATGTGAGTCCCACATGTAAGTGAAGTGAGAAGAAAAAATACGGGGTCTGCTTGTCAATCCCATCATCTTAGAGAGGGGGAGGTCGGCAAGCCTGGGAGAGAGAGGAGGATAGAGGCGGCTGGCGATCCTGGCAGCCATGTTCACTGCCACACCCGATGACAACAAAGATGACGATGCACATGTACCATTGCAGCGCCCACCCTTCCAGCACCAGCCCATGCACATGAAGGCGGTGTCACTCAGCTTCATCCTCGCGCGTGTTGACGAGAAACACGGTAGTCTGGGAGATATGCTTAACTTCAGTGCAGGTCCAAGACTTGTCTTGAGTGTGCTAAGGGCGTGTCAGCTGGTTTGATCCTGCAACAAGCAAGGAAAAAATAAGCAAAGTGAGTTAGCCAATAGCCGATCAGCCGATAGGTCGATGACGTATTGTTGATGGACTCAGCCAATATAGTTAGACCAAATCGGCTATAGGCTAAGTAGGTCAAAGAATATAAAACCCTAAATATGTCGCATCGGCTGTAATATCATCTACTTAGCTTGATAAATAGATTTCAAATGATATCATGAAAATAGTTGATGGAACAATATTTAGAGCAAGATATAGTTAAAAATAATGTACCAGCTAGTACTCTATTACATACTTATATAAACAAATCAATCTATAGAATTATATCAAATAGAGATCAATTACCAGGTATTATGAATGAAAGTGTTGATAACGTATTATGAGTCATTCATTTATTGATCAATGTGGTACAATTTATAGATGGGAAAGGGGTGGCAACCGTAGACGCGATGGTTGTTGCCAAGGAGTGCCAAGTGGGGAGAAGGCGCGGTTGCGATCCTATCTTTATATGGACGAGATCACCCTATAGCTAGTTTCTTAACACATTTGAAAGATTATTTACATTAAAAACAATAAAACAAAAATATTTTGTATAGCATATAATAGATAAATTATATTTTTAAAAAGGTAAAATGAAAAATCTAAAACTTATATACGAACTTTCATATTGTGTAAGGAGGCCATATGAAAAAATTTAAACTTGGATATATCAATTGTTAAGCTTATATATTCATAAGGCAATTTTGGGTTTTTTGAAAAAAGGCCCAACCCAATGATGCACTGTAAAACAATCTTCAGAAAAAGCTAATAATTGTTGAACTAAGATAAACTCAGTTGTATAAGATAATCCACTCCTATAATTTTTATAAGAGTTATTCTTTATATGCGGTAAGACCTATACTACAATTGCAACATTAGATATATAACAAAAAAAAAACTCAGCCTAAAGTTGAACCACAGCCACCGAAAGGGCGGGATCCATGGCATAGTCTTTGCTTCATTATCCAACAAGAGAAAGAACTCAGTGCTGGGTCCACTGGAAGAATAAAGAAAAAGGAAAAAAGAGCATTGCTCTTCTTTGTCGGTTCGTTGCTTGAGCAGTGAGCCAGTGAGTACATGTTCCTCTTTCTCCTCTTCACGATCTAACGCCATGGCACGATGGCTTGGCCTTGGGGATGGTAGACGGCAGACCTGTATCCATATTGAATGAGGGTCTGTTTGAGGGAGCTGAGATTCTGAGAAGCTAGCTGGAGATTCTGAGAAGCTGACCTGAGCCTGATTGGGGAGCTTCTATGGGTTTGCTGATTGGTGTGCTAAGATGCTGAATTCCCTGAAATACCCCTGAAGTAGATGATCCTGATTGTTTGATAACTATTTGTTGTGTAGGGTAAACCCATGTACATACAAATTTTTAAAAGTACTGTTGTGAATACTGAACTCTCATAATTGTAGCTAATAAAAAAGTCATTGCTCCAATTTTTTAAGGCAATAAGGAGGGTCAAATTAATCACTTAATGCAAACACATACATTGTACTTTTCCACCTAAATGTGTTCATCAAGCACATACAAAAGCCTAATTTGCCATCGCTATATATGCAAATAACAAAGTACTAATTAATTAACCACTACCATATATACATCAACCACATAGCAAAATACAACCTGAACCATATGCATAGTTTTATGTACCGCGTCGTCTATTTGCCATCAGAGAGTTTGCAATTAAATCCCGAAAGGTGCACATGTCACCATCATCTGGTGCTGTGCTAACATACGGTTCTTCTTCTTCTTCAGATGAATCGATTGGTGGCATATAGTCTTCATCATTGTCACTCACTGTGCAGCAGTGGGGAATAGGGTGCTGTAGCTCGGCAGGGAGGAGGGGGATCCCTCACGGCGACGTTGGACCGGCGAGCTGATGGGGGCGTCGCGCGAGGAGGGACAGAGGAGCTGACGGACGCGAGGAGGGACAGAGGAGCTGACGACGAGCCGAAACGGAGGGGAGGAAGGGCCGTCCGCCGGGCTCCGGCAAGGAAGGACCGCAGGAGGGCGTTGGTGCGGACCTCTCACATCTGGCGCGGCGTCGGCGTCGGCGCCGCCCCCCACGTGCGCGCGGCGACCTGGGGCTCGGCCTGGGCGCGACGAAGGACAGCTCGGCGGCGACTCCGGCGAGCGCGCGGGGGCTGGTTCCGGCGGGGAGGCGCTGCGCCGCGCCGCTCGCCCCTGCCTCGTCTCTCTCTCTCGCGCGGCTCGGTGTGTTCGACAGGGAAGCGTTGGATGAGGGGGAGAGGGGTGTACCTCAGTGGCAAAGGTGGGTAATTTCCTACAACTTTAATGGGCTCATCCCTTAGAATCTCGGGAAGCTGAGAAAAGCTGGGAATCCCAGCTTCTACCCGGTAGTTCATTTTTGCAAGCTAGCTTTTTCAGATTGTACAAGAAGCTGGCCTGTTTGGTTGGGATTATGGCTTTTGGGACTAGCTGGAGAAGCTAGGGGGACTTATAAGCGCCCCCCCCCCCCCCCCCCCCCCCCAAAACAGGGCCTGGGAATCCTCCGCCACGTATGGCTGGTTCATTTTTTTTATGAAGTAAATTTTAGAAAAACTGTAACTTTGGCGATAAAACTATCAGTTTGATGTAACATTAGCGACATATTTCAGTTTGTTACAATAATGGCGTAAGAATTTATCACAAAACTATAATTTTTACATTATATGCTGCTACAGTACATATAGGTGACAACTGTAGCAGCATATAACGTAAAAGTTACAGCAAACTGAAACATGTCACTAATATTACAGCAAAAGTTACAATTTTCTAAAATTTACTTTATTTTCCGTAATTGATTATAAATCATAATACTTATTAATAACTTAAAATATATTGTTCTTAACGAGTTTAAAGATAATAATAAAAAATAGACTGCGGTAGAAAAGATATCAAATCAGCAATAACATTAAATTTTAATATTTAATTTTTGGCTACGATTGATAAGCTGAAGAGTGTCCATTAATCCCTTACACAAGGGTTGAAAGAGATTTGGAGGAGAATAATTCTACACCGATTAATTCCCTTAATCTCCTCCCATCTCTTCAATCTTTGAGCGATGCTCTGGTTCTCTCTAATACTACCGGTATTATTAGGGGTAAATTAGTAATTTACTATAATATCATGTCACTTATTATTAGGGGTAAATTAGGAGTACCTGTCACTTATTTATGTTTCTCCCCACCTAAATCAATCTACGATCATCCATTGCACCGCCATCGCTCATGTTCCATAAAAAAATCTAAAAAAGAAGGAAACAATATTTATTCACTACTAAATGACGATTATACCCCTCCGCACATTTTTTTGACAATAATGTCCCTCCATATTTCTACTACTACTAACTGAAATGGTAGTATAAATAGATCTAAACCCTTTGATCAAATTAGATCGAAAGTCTACTAGTGAAAAGCATTGTACTGGGGCTCAATCTTTAGGCCATTTCCAACCCAAGACATTAGACATAGTTTCTATAAGCTCCACATCATCAAACTACTATTCCAATACAAACACCACTATTTCATACTTAAATTTAATACTACTTATCTCACATGATGTCTTGGATATTGCGTAGAAACCATGTCTCATGCAAGACATGGTTTCCTTCTCTTTTCTCATTTTTTCGCTTGCCACATCATTTTCTATTCTAGGTAGCAGCTTATTTAATACTATAGACACCATTCTAGTCATTGAGTTAGGAATGACATTAGGGCTCATCGAACAAGCCCTTGCTACATAATAAATTGAGCACAAAAACCACAGCTGTGTTCGGATATAGGGAGTTGGGAACTAAACTCCCCGCACGGAAAACGGAGCGGTCCATTAACTCGTGATTAATTAAATATTTGCTAATTTTTTTAAAAAAAATAGATCAATATGTTTTTTAAGTAACTTTTGTATAGAAACTTTTGCAAAAAACACATCGTTTAGTAGTTTAATAAACGTGCGCGTGAAAAAGGAGAGGGGTGAGTTGGGAACTCTAAGTTCCGAATACACCTGGCTAACCGAATCTTGTGCAACGAGGACCGAGGAACAAGCTTTGGGCGTTTCCATCCTCATTGCGCCACATCCTCATGCAATGGCTGCAATGCCGACCTTAGCTCGAACTATCAAGTACTCCCTCCGTTTCAAAATGTTTGACACTGTTAACTTTTTAGCACATGTTTGACCGTTCGTCTTATTGAAAAACTTTTGTGAAATATGTAAAATTATATGCCTACATAAAAATATATTTAATAATGAATCAAATGATAGGAAAATAATTAATAATTACTTAAATTTTTTTAATAAGACGAACGGTCAAATATATTTAAAAAAGTCAACGGCGTCAAACATTTTGAAACGGAGGGAGTAGAGTTTTCGCCGTTGGTTCGATATATATATATAGGTGCAGTATTTGGTTGGAACTTAACCCATGCCAACTTCTTCTCTCTCTCTCTCTTCTCGCTTGGTTATATCGGGCATCATATCCCACTAGAGATAGCCGCTACATATTACAGCTACCTATTCGATTGCAGGAGAAGATATATATAGAAGCAATTAGCAGGGGGAAGATCGATCAAATGAGAGAGAGCAACAACAACAACAACAGTGTCATACAAGGGCAGCATGAGGGAGGATCATCGGCGGCGGCGCTGCAGGCAGGGAGGCCGGAGCCGGACGCCCTCATCAACAGCATCGCGATAATCCGGGCGTTCACGGCGAAGGTCGTCGCCGGCGTGGGCTTCCTGGCGCTGACGTGGTCGACGGTCGTCCTCCTCGGCGGCTTCGTCTCCGCGCTGCCCATCAAGGAGTTTTGGTTTCTCACGTTTATCAGCATGATTCTTGCCTCCACGTAAGTCATCGACGAAATTAACCCTCCCCTTTTAACATATCGACGAAATTCCCTAGCACAAAACTGCTTATTTAGCATGAGTGCTAGCCAGGGTTCACTCTATCGGTTGAGTCCTTTTGATCGAGGGTCATCGAAATCCCGAAATTTCTGAATTTAGTTAAATTAATTTGAACAAATATTACCTAAATTTATAAAAAAAATTGAAAAATTTCAGCCGAAGTTATATCGTATCGGAGGTGCGGAAATTTCGGTCCGAAATTTCCAACCCTGCTGCTAGCACGGATGCCGGTTAATTAGTGAGTGGTCTAATTCCATCACAGTTCAGTCTTCGCTATTGACATGATTAGATATTAGTACACGTTAGTTTATCACTAATCGTTAAATAAATTGTGACTACGTCATAAGTTATCACACATGAGTCGTCACAGTCGATATGTTTAATAAAACATTTTTTTATCACTAGTAATACGATAAAAATGATTGAAGAATATCTAGTCACTAGATATATCTAAAATATAATGGTGACAACAAGATAATTAGTCACTATAAAGACGCTTACTAGCTAGTGAGGATCAATGGCTTCATCGCACATAAAGAAATCACTGGTAATGCAGGAGTGGTCCAAGGGGGAGGACAAAGGAAAAAGGAGAGATGCTACGGATACGAGGGAGAGAGAGAGAGAGAGAGTGCATGGTCACAAGAAGAAATAAGGATTAGGCTTCAGCTAGCTCATGATGAATTGTATCATTTGTGATTTCGCCCGGTTCTTCCGTCCAGGAATGGGGCCAGGTGAACCCGCAAGGGAGCGGCGCGGTGCCATTCCCGTCGAATTGATCTCCTGTTCCATCCCATTACCAACCCTAGTCCACAATATATAGATCTTGAATTCAAGAAGACACTATTTCATCCTTTTTTGACAAATTGATCTTTTCAAAAATTTATTCCGAAACTAGACTGTGAAAAAACTTTAACCAAAAATAGATCGTCGGCTTAATGCCAACCGCCTTAGCGCTGAGGTTAGACAACTCAGCGCCATGCCCGTTGGCACTGAGCAACCTATCCACGTGGCAGCCAAGCCGATCCCCAAGTGTACATGGCAGCGGATCAGCGTCAATCGGAATGGCGTTGAGTCAATAATCTCAGCGCCACTGTGATTGGCGTGGAACTCTGGGACTTAGCCGCTTGCGCCCTGTCCGCCCAACACAGCTCCTGTGTTGGGCGGCCTGCATCCGCTGAGCCGTCAAACCTCAGAGCCAGGGTAAATGGCACTGACACTTTGGACCTTAGCGCTAGCTAATTTGGCGCTGAGCTATGGGACTTAGGGACTTAGACGTCACTTGCGCTTGGGCTACCCAACACAGCTCCTATGTTGGAGCTCTGTTGGGCTCTGCTCTAGCGCTGAGGGTCAACGCCAATATCTTTGGTGCTGAGTTTGTTTGTTTGAGGAGGTAGGGCCCTAGGCAGAGAGATGACATTCTAGGTCTTTGTCCAGCCTTCATCTAAAACCTCACAAACAGAAATGCATGCCGGCCAAAATCATCCCCAAGAATCAAAAGTCATTTGCCTATCATCAGGTTCATCTACCATCTTATTCTCCATTTGAGTCACATCCAAGCCATCATCTGACAAATCCTTCCCTACGTTCACATCCTTCTCATCCGGTACTTCCGACCATACCTCTGCATTCTCCTCAACCTGTACTTCCTCTCCTACCTCCACTTCTTCCTTAATTGATTCTAACAAAGCCTTCCTACCTCCACATCCTTCTCATCTGGTACTTCTACCCATACATCCACATCCTCCTAAACCCTACCTCCATATCTTAATTAATTAATTCTTCCTTCCGATCAACCACAAACACATCATTCTTCGGTTCATGACTGTATGCGTGGATTTTCATTGAGGTCTGAAATTTCTTTTTTCGATTCACTGTGGTCTATCTTTCAAGCAAACACCTCAAGCGATTTAAACTGTGAGCCCAATATTATATCTACATATGTTTTCCATTCCACCTGTCCATTCAAATCTAACACATACTTATGTGATATGGGATCGGCGCCCACATCGTGTCTCCCTTGCATACCAACCGACTCATGCTCCAATCCAATTCATCCTTCATGCGGAAAATTAACTCCTCAAATGTAGGTTTGGCACGAAACACTAACGGCCTAATTAAGAGTCATCCTCTCAAATTGGCTTCCACCGATACTTTCGTCAACCACACAACCACCAAAATGGAGTCGTACCAATCACATCAATTAACTGATAAATAAGAGTGCATGATTCTAAAATAGTATGTCGTTTCAAAGATAGAAAAATGACATGGGTACCCCAAAACTACCTACAATTTTTTTGAAATTTTAACGACTAACCACCGGCCAGAATATTCCTAGGATCTATACCTATCAACATGAACATGAATCAATATGAATCCCCAAAATATTTCACAATACAAAGGCACTATACATCCCTCCCAAATTCACCCGTAGCAAAAGAGTACAAAACTTGCAAATCAATACGAATCCTCTATACCAACATCAATATACAACTACAACATGACATACTTACCCACATTCCCTAATTCAACCACATCCCGAGCCACATTCAATAACCCACGGTTTCAACCAAAATACTCAACAAAAATGAGGGAAACATTGAGGAAATTAGGGTTTTTGGAGAGGATTTACCTTACAAATCAACCTCCAAAAGCAATGCCCACAAAATAACGTTCGATTTGAGGGAGATTTGAGAAGATTTTGGGAGGGAGGAGAGAGGGCTATGTGGGGTACGAACGAACCCTAGCCGGGCCTGGAAAAATAAGAGAGGAGTGCCTAGGCCGGGGCGACTCAGCCACGAGGTATAGGCCGCTAGGTTAGCGCCAACGCGGTTGGCGCGGAGATTAGTGGGCTTAGCGCCAAGGCAGTTGGCGCTAACCACCTCCCACGCCAGCAGGGGATCGGCTTGGCCGCAACATTGGCAAGGGGGTCAGCGCCAACCGTTTTGGTGTTAAGCCGGCTAATCTCAACGCCAACATCCCTGGCGCTGACCTAGGGACCTATTTTTAGTTGAAGTTTTTTAAACGGGTTAGTTTCAAAATAAGTTTTTAGAAAGGACCAATTTGTCAAAAAGAAAAAAAAATGGCAAGCCTCGCCTCACTATGGAACACAGCCTTATGAATCATTTATTTTCATATTCATGTGTTTTATTAGTAGCTAATTAATGATCTTCCTCGCTGCATTTACTCCATTTCTCAATACCTGACTTTTTTTTTACCTTCCCCTTAATTGCCCTTAGACCAAAGTGAATAAAAGTTTTATGCTTATATTTAGGGCATACCTCACTTTAGTGTTTACAAATTTTAAAAAAATAAGTTGTTAAAGTTTGAAAATATATAATGTTTGATGTCAGTTATTAATGATCTTAATCGCGGTAACCCAATGCAACAGGGTCTTGAGCGTCTACGATTACGTTAACGAGACTTACGCGGCACGAGTGAATCCTACGTTTGGTATGATAACCGGGGGATACTTCACGTTCCTCTCGAAGTTCGAAGCCAACCTCTCCGCTGGCTGCGCCGTGCGCTGCTGGAGGCTGTGTGTCATGCTCTTGGTCCTGCTCATCGCGATGGCACTGCTTATAGGACTGCTTCTGATCGACGCCGTGTTCATCGTAAGCTTGGTTGGGCCGATGGCAACAATGGCGATCTCGCTGACGCGCCTGATACAGCACGACTACGATGGCTCAGACGCGTCGAGCAAAGGAAAGCTCAGGGCAGCCCTGTTCATCTTCTACTCTCTGGCTCTGCTCCATAGCCTGTGCTTCTACTTCTGGCTCCTGCTGCATTTGTCCCTCGAAATGTTGCCGATTCCGGCGAGCATAGAGGAGTATGGGCACGGCGACGGCGGCTACTACCAGATGCTGCTTCGTCAGTACCTCCAGGAAACCAAAACCAAGTGTGCGAATGATCCCAAGCTGCCAGGTGACTGGAACCTGGTGACATACGCCGTTGGGTTGCTGGATTCTGCATCCCCGGATGATCATCTGGATGGGCTAAGGATGCTCGACGTCTTGGCCATCAACAAGCAGCGCTCTGTACGGCTTGAGCTGCTGTCCTCGAGACACTCTGTCCAGAATCTCATCGAGATGCTTGAGTGGGATGGTCCGGACCAGGAGATGAGAGAGCGTGCCGCGAGGATTGTCGCCGATGTCGCTGCTGCGCTGCGCGTAGCCCAGATGCCAGCGGGAGCTCTGCACTGCATATCTTCTCTGCTAGAAGCCTCACCAAGATCTGACACCTTGAAGAAGCCGAAAGGCGGTAAGGAGTTGATTCATCGGGGCCTGCAGATTCTTGAGAGGCTCGCACGCGACGAGCACAACTGCAGGGAGATGTGCAAAACCAATGGCTGCTCCCCAAGATCACAGCACCAATCACTTCTCCCGCGTTCCTCGAGACAGAATATGACAGTGAATGGGTTGATATCCTAAGCATTTTGTTGAGGCTGGTGATGCGGCTTATCAGTGCTCCTGGAGAAGCCGGCACAGTGCTGTGCCATGAAATCTCAGCTAGCAATGATGCAGTCCACAACTTGCTGGGGATCCTTGACGGCCAAATCAAGTTTTCCTTGCAACTTCAGGAAAACGCCATGGATGTTCTTTCAGAAATATCAATAGGTTTATCTGCAGCCATGACCGAGAATTTAGTTAAGAAGTTGTACCACATCTTCCTTGCCAACAGTGGTATGAGATGATTGAGGCCAAAAGCAGGGGAAGCGCTCGTGAAATTGATTTCTACTCAAGGTGCAAGTGGACAGGTACCTGTTATGGAGATATTCTGCAAAAGCATGTCCATGGAGCAAATCTGTGAAAGCGAGTCCACAGATGCACTGGATGTGAAGAGATATGGAACAGTTGTTGATCAACTCACTGATATACTTGTTAAAGACAAGGAATGCCAGATAAGTGCAGCAGCAATATTACAGCACTTATGTTCTCGTTTTACAAGGAGCTACGAACTATTAGAGCAAGATGTGGTTAAGCTGCTGATGTCGGTAAACCTCAATTGCTTTCTCTTTCTAACATCATTAGCATGAATCAACCATATGCAGTTATCTGAATAATTCAGTTAATGTGATGCCCGATCAAACAATATTAACCCTAAATTAGTAGTTCGCTCTAGATTGTTTGTTTTTAGAAATTTGAATAGTGGGAGGTTATCTATATCAGATTTGCTATTTATCAATCATCTAGCATTCCCCTAAACTTGCATAATGCATAGGCTAAACTTATATACTTTAGAAAAGTACAACTTTAGTCTAGATGCATATTTATGCTTACATAGACCATAAACGTTTTCTCCATTTCAGTGGGGGATAAACAGCAAATTACTTTTTTTTCAATGTTTAGGTTAGAATATTCTTTGTTTGACAGAATAAAGGAAAAATATGAGTTATTGGACATTGACCTAGTGTTGGAAAAAAAGTGATTGATAGCGATATAGATACACTCACATGGTTATAACTTATACTAAGTACATTGCTAATATTTAGTTCCTTCGATATAAATTTTATTATTTACAATACATGGTTATAACTTATACTAAATATATTTGCTAGAAGTCAGTTCCTGTGAGATGAATTATATTATTGTAACTGTTGCGGATTCTTGATCTTATCCTATACGGTAAAACGGAAGGAGATGAGGAAACTGTATCAGAGGCAAGGGAAAGCAATAATTCTGAAATGCATAATGATGAAGAAAGCAAACCTCCAAAACCAGCTGGTCTGAAGAAGTCCTTGGTGGAGAAAAATGATGAGCTATCTGAAGAGAGGAAACATCTAGCAGCTCTGCTATCCCTTCTTGTGGTGATATGCGACAATTTGGTTGATGCAGATCTTTTTTCTAATGTCACATCTGTGAATGATGAACTGGCGAAGAAGCTCAAGAAGATAATAGAAGCAAATAATGAAAACACAGCTGACTGTCTGAGAATAGTGAAACTTACCTGTCAGGTGGTTATAGCGATAATTCATCTCAAACCTAGCTCCCTCAAAGACTTCAATGAAAGTAATTTCAATGATGTAGTGTCCACGGCTTTCAAGAACATGTCAGATATCGAAAACTGCATGCTCTTTGCAGTCAAAGATCGTCAGATAACAAAGCCTGCCAAAACTCTCTCTTCTCTTGTAAAAGAAACCCAGGGACTCCTCCACAATGCACAAGAAACAGGTAACAATTCTATCTGACTAAAATCATGTACTGTATCTCCAAGAGTAACATTGTACTTCTTGTCATCTGAAAATATTTTCTGAAATACGCGTGCAAATGGATTGTGCAGTCATGTCTATTTTATGTACTAAGTGTGCGAATGGAGTGCGCCTTCTATGTTCTGTACTATGTGTGCCGATTGTCGAACATTGTATGAATACTTTAAAAGTATAGTATCTCTGAAACATTTATTGGCACAAGTACTGTTATATGTTAGGAATGGCAATGTTAATATGTTATTATTGATTACTTCAAAACTATGGTTTGAAGTTCATGTTGAGCTCAAATCTAATTTGGTGGATACAGCCCATAATTGTAAGTATGTCATAGTGAGTGAGTCGATATGCATTCTGTAAGATATAACAGAAAATCTTAAAGATAGAGCGGTAGATCATTACATATATTCAACACATGTATTCTCTCTTAACGGAAATTCTTACAGTTAGAGCACTAGATCCCACAATTTTTGATAATTTGACCCTTTGCAAAAACTAATTTTACAAATGAACCGCCGCCAAAACTTTTTTAAAAAATGACCCTTTTGTTCAGTGCCAAATCGTGTGGCGCTGAACTTAGACACCTCAGCGCCAAATAGCATGGCGCTGAATGTACGTTGGCACACTAACTCAGCCTTCCATCCGCGTTGGCACAGCATTCAGCGCCAGTTGACGTGGCGCTGAAGTGTCTAAGTTCAGCTCCATAGAATTATTTGGCGTTGAAAAAATGGTCATTTTTTAAATAAGTTTTGGCGAAGGTTCATTTGTAAAATTAGTTTTTTCAAAAGGTCAAATTGTCAAAATTTGTGACTAGGTCCAGTCCAGCCCAGAAATTCTGTCTTATTCGAAACAAAAGCAATAAATCATTTCATATATTCAACACATCAGAAAACATAATGTTGGGCGGGTGCTGCTGCCGCTCAGGCATGCCACGTAGGATAAAAATAGTGCGCGGGGGTGGAAATTTTGCCAAAAAAAACCCTCTGTTTTGTGTGTAATTTGATGTAGGTTCCTCCTACGTGGAAACCCTTCTAAAAGCTGTATATTCCATGAAAAGGAGAGAAAGATCACGAATTAGGACCGCGCTGTGATAAATGGAAGCATAGGGGCTTTTACGCAAAACGACACCCACTAACCTTAACCTCACCCCAAAACCCTAGCCGCCGCCGCCACCCACGTCCCCTTCTCCCACTCGTCCTACTCTCTCTGTCTCCGTCTCGTGCCGCCACTGGGCGCCGCCTCCACCGTTGCCAAGCGCCTTCCCCTCGTGGCACGTTGTCGTCGTCACCACCGAGCGCGCCACCTCTACCTCTGCCTCGCGTTGCCTCAGGCCGTCTCCGACGGCCGATGTCCGGATCCGATCTCCATGTGGTCGGGGCAGGCGGATTTGACCGTCCACGTCCCCTCCTCGCCTCACTCTCTCGCTCACCTTCTCCTTCTCCCTCTGACCACCCCCGTCCAGATCCCATTCGTTGCCGCTCCAGGTGCTGCGGATCAAGGGGCAGCTCAAGACAGCAAGCTTCGTGGTGGCACACATCGGCATTGACTTGGGCAGACAACATCCATGATAGCATGGGCTATTGGCGGCGGCAACCGAGCTCTAAATCTTGTAGTGGCGAAGTCTTCCTTGTGGCGGCAGCGACCGCATCTTCCTGGCAGCGACGGGATCACGGGATGTTCCTGGCAACAACAGCGGCGGCAACTTCTCGGAAGCAGCGGTGTGTTCCCGGTGACAGCAGCGGCTGCATCTTCCCTGCAGCGACGGTGTCTTCCCTGCGACGGCAACGTCGGCGATGACATCTCTCCTGGTGCAAGTTCTTCCTTCATCCACAAGAGAAATTTGCATATTTACCATCGCATAAAAGTGGCTTCGCTAGTATAACATCACTTAAATAGTCTTTGCTGGAATACCATTCTCAACTGGGTGCGGTCTGACACTTTGCCTTTTTCATCGTTTTTGGCTAATGAAAAAGATTTTGCTCGCTTTCAAGTTTTTTTTTTTTTTGCCGAAACTGCCCTTGGATTTTGTTTTCCTCTCTATCCAAACCATACCGTTCTTTTTTTTCCAAGTTCTTTCGCTCGCTCGCATCTCCTCCTGTCGACCGAGCGGAGGCGGAGGCGCGGTCTTGCCGGCGTCGAGCCACCTCACCGCCGCCGTCCTCGCCTTCTCTTGCCCCGTCCCCCATCCGCCCCACATCCCGCTCTCTCCTTCCTGTCGACCGAGCGGAAGCGCGGTCTCGCCGGCGTCGCCTTCCTGTCGCCCCGTTCTGCTCCCGCCGCCGCTTCCCGTCCCCCATCTACCCCAAAAGCGCCGCCGGGGAACGGGGAGAGGCGGCGCGGCGGTAGCTGACTCGGCAGCTAGCGGCGGCGGTGATGCCTGCGAGGGGAGCAGCGGGATTCGGGGGTGGTGGGGAGAGAGGCGGTGCAGCTGGCGGCATGGTGGGGTAACGGGGAGAGGCGGCGCGACGGCGGCAGTGGTGGGCGGCACCAGCGTCGCCGCTTCACTTTCTCCTCACGCCTCCGTCCTCAAGCAACCGAAGTCTCGAAGCAGCAAGAGGTAGAGAGATTCAGCATGTTGACCCCGGGCCCGGGGCATAAACGTCCGAGAAAAAGTGTAATTGAGAAAAAATAATAATTTCGAAATGCAAAAAACCACAAAAATGGCATCGCAGCGAATACCCACGACTTAGGAGTAGCATTCCAGCAAAGCCCTTTTAAGTTATGGTATTCTAGCAAAGCCATTTTTATACTATGGTAGATATGCAATTTTCTCCCTCCCTGCATGGACCACCTTAGCACCGTGTGACCCCCAACTCTGAGGACGACTAGCGGCGGCGGAGGATGGGGTCGTCACGGCAGAAGGCCTTCCACATGGTCCGGAAGCGTGGCAGGCGGCAGCATGTCGATTTCCGGTACCCGGCGGCCATGTCAATCGAGGAAGTCTGTGATCCCGACGAGGAACGCGTCGTCGCCGTGTTCCACGATTGCCTCGCCGCGCACGGCCTGCTCCTGGACAACCACGATGACTACCATATTATGCTAAAGGTTCACCAAAAGTTGCTTTGCTAATGGTGACTTTGCCTTCTCTTCTGATGCAGGTTTCTGAAGGTTAATCGAAGACGATGCAAATGTGGGCAGAGATGCTGAGATGGAGGAAAGAGATAGGAGTCGACATGATGTTGAAGGTGACCAGATAACAAAGCGCATTTGATTTAATAAGTTACAGTGTCTGAATAATATTTGGTTTGATATATTGATGAACTCCAGTGCTATGTTCTTGTGGTTAGGAGTTCTGCTATGTTCTTATGGTCAGGAGTTCCGAACAGGGATACCATGCTGTTGATCAGGAAGGCCAGCCGATGTACATCAAGAAGCTTGGCAAGATCAATCGAAACAAGCTGATGCAGATCACCACAGTGGACAGTTACAACTTACATCAATTAGCATGTTGTAGAGATTTAATTGCAGGTTATTTGCCGATTGCCATTAATAGGTTTTTTTTTGGCAGATTTTTTGCTACCTACAGTTCAGTTGACATGCTTTCTTACAGCTAATGTTCAGACTACAACCACTACCAGTTCAACTAGCCTGTTTCTTGCTTCTTTTCATAAAGTTACACATATCTACATGGATTAAGTGTATTGTCAGAATCAAAACCTGGTAATTTTTTTAGCCTTTAAACCATTTATCTACTCCTAGCTATTTTGCTCATGCTCGATGTATTCTAAAAGCAAGATTGCAACCTTTGTCTTTGTTGCTATTCTAGGGTCATGGTAGTGAATTCATGGTAACACACTTGATCGTTAATTTTCAATTTCGGGACTTACTTTCTTAATTGAGTCGTCCTGTCAATTGGTTTCCAGGGAATTGATGGGGATTTCATAAGTAGTCAAGCTCGCCTGCCTTTAATTCTAATTATTGTATCCATGACGAATGGTGCGGCTTTGTGCACACATTGATGGCCATCTCCAGCATCATTCGTGTTCTTTGTGCATCACACATACATACCCCTCATCTTATTCTGTCTGCATCCAAACAAATTGAGGTTTGGATTGTAGGTCATTTCTATCATCTTAACAAATACAACTATATTTATCTAAAAAAGTGAATTCAACTATATTGGATAGGTAATTCTATGTGTGTATTGACCTCATTTTCAATGGTTTACATGCAAAGGTGAACACCAATTCTTAGTTTAATACAATTATGCCTGTTTGATGAAGCTACTGAATAATAAAACAGTCCATTTTAAGCGCAATAAAACAAGCCATTTTCAATTTTCTAGCACATCATGCAGGTATAGGACAAGCATTTCTTGTGTTAATCACTAGATTATGTTTACTTCTGGTGGCTCGGCTGTTTTGGTCTTTCATATCTTACAGCAAGCAGCTCGCTAAGTTTTTTTTTTCCTTTGCAGCCCTATTTACAGAAGAAAGATCAGAGTGGTGTTTCTAATATGACTGCAAAGATGAGCTATTTTATCATATGGTAAGAGCAAAGTATAAGGTCTAATCTATCTAGCCTTGCAGAGCACATTGCCGATTTCTACTAATGTATTTTTCTTTTCGTTGGTGGTCACAGAGTGTCCATAGGAGCATAGTTGCAGTGTTCCTTCAGTTATGAACAGGAACATGCTTATCTAAGCTGTTCTATTTTAGCTCTCTTTGTATGACTTGATTTCTTTTATCTAGCATGATTTATTTGTTCTACCATTCTTTAAAACTTGTTTTTTGCCTATTTTTTGGTGATTGACAAATACCACAGACATAAGACCAATTCAATATACACCATGCTGCATACAGGTAAATGTTAAAGGCTTTCTTCTCTAATTTAGTTTCCTCTTCTTAAGTTTGAGATTTTCTAAGAGATACTAATACATTATCTCCTCCTGGCCATTAATACATTTAGGCCCCTTAAGGAATGCTAAGTTAACTCTTTAGGGGCATTGATGTGTTCTGTTTTTCAAGTTCGCTTTAAAAAAAACTTATGCTTTTGTTGGCATTTTTTTTCATTATACAGATGATAAAATATGTTTTATAACATAAATATGCTTGCAATTCTACATCACAAACCATAAAGCCTCTCAGGATGTGCCCTTTTTTAGCTATGACACGTCAGGTTACTGTAGTAGAAGCACACTAGGATTATACGGTGCCATTAACTGTTGTTGTGTGCTTGCATGTGCAGCTCTTGTTGGATCGTGTCTGCCCCGCTGCACGGCGCCGCCCCTCCGCTCCTGCTTGCTGCGCCTGCACTCACCAGCAACCCACCGCAACCACCCCACCCCCCCCCCCCCCCCCCCCCGCCTTCACCACTCTCCTCGCCTTCCCCATCCGCTGTGCTGCCCCGCTGCACGCCGATTCCCCATCCACCGTTGCTCGATTTCTCTCCTCTCCCGCGCCGCCCCTCTGCCTTCGTTGCATCCCTCATGTGTCGCCCCTCCGTCGTCGTCGGATTGTCATGCCACCCGCCGCCGCCGCTTGCTCGTGGAGATGGCGATGACCGTTGAAGGTGAGGGTCCCTCGGAGTTTTCCTCTCTAAGATTTACTCAATTGGTCTGGTTCTGTACTGTCCTGATTTCGGCATTGTTTGGGCTCCGATTCGAGTGTCGCGGTGCGGCGATTGGGCGGCTAGTGTTCCGGTTCGAGTGGTGCTACGATTGGCTGGTGCTTGTTTACGGATTAGGGCATTGGGTTCCCAATTGATCGCGCAAGATTTGTTGTAATGCTTGCGGCAATTCAGCAGTTGTCAAGTTAACTTTCCCAGATTAGTCTTGGCATTCTGTGAACACGACTTGCCCAAAAGCGTATCTGTTTATATCATTATATGTCACTTCAAAAGAGAGAGAGAGAGATAGAGAATAATCAAAGTGAATTAGATCCTCCAAGTTAGCACCCTTGTGTTGGGTCTTATGTTTTTGCCAGTAGTTTTTTAAGGGTGATTGCATTGATGCAGTCTGCCATTGTTTCCCTGGATTTCATGGTCACGACTGTAGCAGAAGTGAGTTCTATGTCTCTATGCTATCCATCCGTTTATCTAACTATTTTTCTTCGTCATCTATTAAGCTTTTCAGCACAGGTTCTTATGTGAAAAGATTTTTGTATGAGCCGGAATCCTTTAATGAATACCTAGATGCTAGAGATACATCTTTCTTAACTGATTGGGAGTTTTGCAGCATTTTATTGGGAGTTTATTTATATCTTGTTTTATGTTCTGCTTTTTAGGATTCAAGCACAGCCAATTCCAAGGGGTATAAATGGTATAAATAGAAGACCTTGAGGGAACAGAAAGAATCACCTTGCTTGTGCCTAATTGCTCCAAATTAAAAGGTAAGCACATATTGAATGAATAATTCTTGTTTTCAAGGAAGTTTCACCATCTTAATCGGGAATGTATAGCTCTCATAGCATTAGGTATATTTCTATGGACCTGAAACAATACACTGTTGTATTGATGTAATATGCCCGCTTGTCAACTTGTTTGAAGCTGTATTTGAGACGTTTTACTTTAGAAAATCTTGATAAGCAATATTGCGTGCATAACTTATGCCATATAGCACCCTAATTTTATCGGTCAGAGGATAAAATAATAAGAGGAGATGGGTGAAGTGATTCCACACTAATTAACAGAGTGGTGTTGTATAGAAACCAAATAATAATCAGTTACACCTACTGAGTTTCACAAATAAAAATGACAGACCTAGCTACAATGTACATCTACTGTAAACTAAAATGCAATCTTAAAAATAAAATCATGTTTACCTTCAAACCAGGGCAGATGGATTGAAATTCAATCTTTATGCTTCATAAAAATATTGTCCCTCAAATAATACCTAGGGTGACAAATACACTAATTATACAGAAATAACTGGAGTCATTGCCTCATCTTTTTTGGAGAAGGTTGAAAAACCTTAGGAGCAATTTAAGTAACAAATATTCATTCAAACTCATTTCCTTTTCTAAATCTATGACCAAAATAAAAATGGTTTCTTTTTTTCACAGTCCACAATAATTGTATTGTCACATGCTATAGCTAACAAATTCAGTGGAGTGTACATTTTATGGGACAAACGGTCTATGGGAGCACTATTCATTTTAATGTGCATTTTAATGAAAAAGGGATTTAAACAGCTGTATTATAGTCACTGGTGTAACCTGTATGCTCATAAAATGTGTGCATCTTAAATTATGTTATATGGAATCATGTTTCTCTCTCAGAAAAAAAGGTGAAACACAAATTTCTGAGTTTGGTTTCTATACTAAGGGCTCATTCGGAATGCAGGACTGAAAAAACATAGGAATAGAAAAAATATAGGAATAGGATAGGAATGCAAGTGTAAAACAGAGGATTTGAAAACATAGGAATTTAATGTGAATAGGTGTGGATGGAGTAAAGGAAAAATATAGGAATCTTTAGAAGAAAATAGGTGCACTATTACAAAATTATCACATACTACTAGTGAATTAAACAACATTAATCAACCTAATAATGTGCTTTAGTTGCTTGATGGCATGATTTGCCTCGTTCCCACGCGAAAGGAGAGAAAAAAGAGGTCAGCATGGATGTTTTTCTTCCTGTGATCTTCCAGTGATATGGCTAGCGCAGGAAATTTCCCTATGTATTTCCTACGAATGTTTTCCTGTGATCCGAATGACGCCACAGTAAAGCAATCCATAGGAACTCAATCCTTCATTTTTCCTGTGTTTCTCCTCCATTCCAAATAAACCCTTAGGGTATGTATGCATATTCTGCAAACCTATTCTGTGTGGTACTCATGCGTATGTATGCATTGATGGCTAAACATTTTCACATGCGCATTTGACAGCTCAGGTACGACTTGCAGCAAACAGGAAGCTTTCTCCATTAGAAGGAATCAAATCGATCAAGAAGGTAGCGGGCACTCTTATAACTGTCAAAGATGCAAGTCTAGATAAATAGTCATCCATGTGAATTGCCCGTTCTCAACTCTGGATTTATATAGATGAGAATGAGATAGCTCATTTCGAGAGTAGATGCCGTGATCGGTTCACTCTATTTTGCTTATCCATTTATAGATAGCCGTCCCTTGTAAATGCACATTTCATTGAATCCAACCATTGAACTTTGACTGTGAATGATTGAATCATGATTTCTTCTTTTTTTTTTTGGCCAGTCACTTGAATCAGGACCTAGCATACATATTCAGGTAGGAGGTCTACGATGGGCAGCGGTGTGGTCACGAGTTCCACAACGGTGAGTGTCTATATTCTGTACAAACGACATAGAACCATACTTATTTCCTCAAATGCTGTTAGTCTTAAGTATATTTCCTCAAATGCTTATCTTTCTAATTCTTAAGTATACTTCTGAAGTGCTGATCCTGACAGATGGCTACCTGGTAGCTGTAGCAGTACTTAAGTACAAAATGTTAAAGAGTATAATCTATTTATATATCTATTAATTTTTACGATGTGAGCTCTTCAATCTGGATATTTCTGAGTTTCATCTATTTCTGATATTCAAATAACTGGAGCGGGGCATCAGTAGCAAAGTATGAAAACTAAGTCTGCCCGACACAACAACGTGATTCTGAAATTGACAAGGCTAACCCCATATTCTTCTACACTACTTTTTTTATTCCTGCAAACTAATGCTACATTGTTATGCCGACTAATGCTGGGAGCACAGGCCGCGTCTTAACTGAACATGAGTATGCAAAAACTGAAGGTGATTCTTATTTTCTAAATCTTTATCTCAATATTTCCTCTAGGGGTTACATTGGAGCGGGCCAAATATTGTATAGGTAAGCATTTTGCCTCTTGGCTATTACAAGTTTTCCGTCTTATATATGTATCTAGAAGTTCATGTTGCCGTGCGCTGCTTTTACGCATGCTGCCATGTACACATGTTTAGTTTTAGTAAAAATAAGTAAGGTTTCATTGCACGGTAAGTATTGTTTACAGGTGTGCAAATTGATAGGAGCTAATTCATGCAATGGCTTCTAAACATAATGTTACTTGATAACTAGGATATAAATTAATAATTACATGGAAGAACTAATTTATATCTATAAGTTGCTTTCAATTTTACCATGAGTTAGTATGTGCTACCATAATCCTTGGAATTGGAGGGTTTGTAGCAGATCTCATCAGTTGTAAGGAAAGTGGAAAAAGTTTATTTGGTCAGTGTTAAGCTATCTTACCGTGCAATGTACATTAGGTAATGTATGCTGTTAACAGTTATTTTTGTTGTTAAATCCAATCCATTTTCTTAAATTCAATAAAGTATTGATGAAACAACTTAGATGCATCCAAACAATGCTAGCAATGCTCTTAATGGGGAGCAGCAACCTGAAGGGTAGAGTCACCCATATATTCTGGTATATTTTTTATAATGGAAATGTGTTAAGGGGTAAATCAACATGTACCAGACCTTTAGATAATTCTGTATCATTTGCCTGCACAATGCAAATCATGAAAATTTTGCTGTAATTTTTATCATTAATGCCTTTCAGGAATTTAGGATGAGTTCAGGAAGTCATAAGATTGATCAGAATTACTACCACTTATGCCATTAGGCTTTAAGTTTATATGGAAGGGGTGTGGATTGGCAGCATGCGTTGAATAATTCCTCCTAAGGCCACAAAACAATTGGCCTTCCCAGTTTGATTGATTGGTGGTCCAAGGATGAAAGGCAATTACAATTTTGTATATGGAGTTTTTTCTTTGAATTTTCAGTATTTACCATTTTTGTCATTGATGAGTAAATGATAGTACGTATCATATATTAGTGATAGTGAGATTCAGAAGCCGTACGTGCTAGCAATCTCAACATGTGTTCCTCGATTCGAGGAGCGACCTCGATCGTTGTCTGTGTTTTCACTGTCTTATTGACTTGGCAATGGATCAACAATGTAACAAAAGTACTTTGTGTGATAGATATTTTATTAATCATTTTAGGTTATGAACTACCAGACCTTACAGATACCATATTCTAGACAAAGGTGATATTTACACAATGCATGTAGATAAACAGATTCTGTGCTTATAATATGCTCAATTCAATTTATATTGATCACAACGTGCATTGTACGTGCACGATTACTAGTCGGATCTTGTAGTTGTAGTTTTTAGAGTTTATTGTCTTGTTGGTGTTGATGCAAAATACACACTGACCTGGGAGATTGTCACGTCCGGAATTTCTATCCAAAATTCCAAACGTTTACATGTGTATTAAATCCTCGTCCAAGAATTAACTGAGGCATACAATAACAAATTGATAATAGAGTACTATCAAACAATTATTAATACTCGCAAAATAATAAATTATTACAGAGGTGGATAGTTACTCTCAAAAGAATAAAATTATACGCAGCGGAAATAAAAACAAAAGACAGAACAGCTATGGCGACTCCACTCCACGAGCAACTTGACCCGGACAAAGCCTAATCCTCCAAACCATCACCTGCACTAAAGTACTCCTCCTCTGACGAATGAATATTGTAAAAATGAGCATATGACATACTCAACAAGCCACACAGCAAATATGCAAGTGCACAGGATAACAAAGGATAGCATAATACAGCTCAATTGCATAAACAGCATTTAATTAACATTTGAGAGAATAGTAAAACAGTTAAGTAATTAAGCAATATTAAATAAACACTATACAACACACCCGTGTTGCATAGGCCCAACCTCATCTGAACAACCAACCCCGGTTGTACAAATCAAACCTCCATACCAGGAATATACCATTCCAAACCAGGAGTCAATTTAATTATCACAGTATTATCATTAATAGTGAGTAGTGTGGGACTAATCACGAAAAACATTGTTAAACCCACCCATAACCGCAAGCACGGCTATTCGAATAGTTTTACTCTAGCCAGAGATGTACCACTGTACCCACAAGACACAACTCCACAACATGTCACCATGCGCCTCAGTACCACCACAGTACCTTGGAAAGGAACTGTGACAATATTTCTCACACAACACAACTCACCACAGTGCACTGTTCCTGGATCATAATCTCCCCCTCAAAACCAGAGGCAATGGACTCCCCAGCGACCCCCACGGACTTCTCGCCGCTTCTCAGTCTGGCACCCCATAATGAATCATGCTATACAAAAGGTAAAGCCATTGCCCACGCTGGCTTGTGGTTGGCATGGTAAATGTTTCACAACAGTAGCTCGCGAACCGGTCCTTAATTGTCATGAGCATGACCATCAAAACCATATGCTCACAACCCACCTTTAATCAGGTTTTAATTATCAATTAATTATCATAACACAGTTAACCATCGTGAGCTACCATTAAATATAACCATAATTAATAATGTAGTATGATTCATCCCATTAATGAGCTAATATTCCTAAGCATGGCTAAGCAATTATATATAGAGCATTTAGCTGAACCAATCCAATATATAAGGTCCAAGCTAATCAATTTATTACCCATAGGAAAATAAAGTCATCTTCGGCCATTAATTAATTGGAAAAGGCTCACCACCCGATGACATTCGAAAATAATGCATAAGTTGAAATAAAACATTAGCTTTAAACGGGTTCAACATACTCAAAGGGTTGTTTGGGATCTATGTGACTTTCCTTGAGCTTCTTCAAACGCTTCTGAACCTTCCTCAACGTAAACGCTCTCCTCCGGAATGTCGGAAACTAAAGCAAATGAACAAAATCAACAAAACAGTACAAAAACAAGCATAAACAGTACATTTGGATATTTTTGACATGTAGATCTCGATTTTAGATGAATTTAGCAACTTGAACCACTCGAATCCGAGTTACGATGATTTAGTTATGAATTTCCGAAGTTTAATCGATTTTCAACTAATACAGAAAATTATTACGAATTAAATAAAGGATTGATGACGTCACGATGACATCATCGCCGACCATGGCACTGGACGACGCGACCACCAGCGATAGAGGGCTCGGCCGGGCTATCCGAGGACACCTACGCGAAGAGGACGACGACGCGAACTCACCGGTGCAAGAAATAACGAAGTACGGCGTCCGGTGACGAGGACCAATGGCAGCTCGGCTCGGCTCGATGTCGACGGTGGCGCTCCGGCGGTCTTTGGCGGTTGCGAAGGGGCGGACGGGGTGCTCCTCCACCGTGCGAACCCGGTGGTGGCGACGGACGGCGATGGCGACGACGCTGGCGGCGGCGCGGCGCGGCTGGAGCGGCGTCGGCGGCGGCGGCGCTAGGGCTACGCGGCGGTGGCACTACGGGCGACGGCGAGGCTCGGGACTTGAGGCAAATGGAAGAGGATGACTAGGGGATGCTATTTATAGGCTCGGATTAAAGAGATCGAACTCCAAACGAGAGGAATCGAAGCCGAAAAATCCTAGGGTTAGTTTGGAGAGATAAACTCAAAACGAATTCGATTCGGTTTATCCGGGCAAAATTGATCTCCGAAACTTTAGGGAAAAGGGAGAGGATAAGGAGGAGATGATTTCCCCTCAAGCAATCGAACTCGGAGATGGCCGGTTGGGGCGGAATCGAAGAGGAGGCGGTGGCGCTCGGGCTCGGCTCAGCCGGCCGGAGGTGGAAGAAGGCCCCGACATGTGGGCCCCACATGTCGGCGGCTGAGAGGAGAGGGTGGGGCGGCGGCTCGGCTTGGGCCGGCGTGGGCCGCACAGCTGCGCGCGAAGAGAAGAGTTGGGCCGGAAACGGCCCAACGGCCTAGGGGAGGGTTTTAAAGACTTTTTCAATTAAAATAATTCGTGAAATGATGTTTCATTTATTAAAAATACCTTCCTTGTTCAAATAATTCCCAGAAAAATCTAGAAAACAGATAAACAAGCAAAGTATTTAATGAAATTTTATCTAGCTCAATTTTATGTTGAAATTTTCCCTAGATTATTAGAGTTCAACTTGTAGGCTTTTAAAAAAATAATTTCTAAAAATGCATTAATAATTGAATTATTAAATTAGGCGATTTTCAAGGCATGACAGAGATCTGGTTAGCTCCAGTGCAGGTCCAAGATGTTGATGAGATGCGGGCGTGCCAGTCAGTTTGATACTGCAACTGACAAGATATGTAAACAGCAAATAAAACAGCCGATCGGCTGACAAGCCGATGGAGTAATTCCAGCTGATAGCTGATATTAGCTGATGTCGATAAGGTTTTGAGCAATCGGCTATATGTCCAATGCAGATAATTATATAAAGACAATTGACCGATGATAATAAAATATAATAATAATATAATCCAATAGAAACCAATCGATAAATAATAATATGATAGGATAATGTCACGTCCAGGAATTTAGCCCAAATTTTCAGACTATTTTGTGTATTAAATCTCTGTCCAGGAATTAGCCAGGGTACACAAAACGACAAATTAATATACAGATCCAAACGTAAATAAAGAGTAAAATACTTACAGAAGAGGCACTTAGTCCTCACACCGAAACAAAAGTAGCGGCAGCGGAAAAAGGCAATCCTAGCGGGGCTTCAGCTCCACTCCATAGGCAAAACTCAACTGGGGTCTGAGTCTTGGTCCTCTAACATCGTCTTCGGCTCAGAAGCACTACACTTTTGAAAAGGGGGAATAATAGCAAGGCTGAGTACAACCACCATATTCAGCAAGCCACACCAATGATGCAGACGTACAAGGGGATACAAGAAGGGTTGTGGCTATTTGCATAAAGGCGGTTGTAAAGCATTTATTGAGCAAAACAGTAAAACTGTTGATTAGTTAAGGTAATATTATATCTCCACTAAACAACGCTACACCACGTTGAATAGGCCCAACCATCCCACCTAAACTAACCAGTGCATTGAGTCGATTTATTAGGGGTAAGACTAATCACGGTGAATCTGATCGATCGCTCATAACCGCGGGCACGACTATTCGAATAGTTTTACTCTGGCCAGAGGTGCACAACTGTACCCATAAGACACAATCCACCGGCATGTCACCGCGCCCGGCCGGACATATCACAATGTCGAGTGATTGTGACAAGACCATTCATATAACTCCCTCTGACCAAGCACACCACACTTCAGGTTTCGCCCTCACTCCTCAACAGGCAGCGGGCAGCCCCTTCTCGTGTCTAGGCGAATCAACGAGCCGCAAAGGCCATCGCAGGGCCCATCCGAACTCCATCACGCTCACCCTTGCCTGGATGCATCAGCCGGAGGAAAGCTATACTACAGATCAAGCAGTTACCCATTCCCGCTTCTGGTAACGTTGTATGTCTTCTAGGGTTTCCCACGAACCGGTCCTTAAATTGCCATGGGCGCAACTAGCAAAACCATACACCCACAGCCCACCACTCAGTTGTATTTTAGTTGGATAATTACGACCAATGAAACATGGCCGGATGTCCCGAGCATGCAGCTCATCATGATACTAAGAGGTCTAATATTGTAATTATCCCATTGTGTGATGAGGACCTACCTAGCTCCTCACATTCTTCTACAACTGCCACTCCCGATCCAACAATCTCCAATGCGTATAAGGGACCTATCACACGAGCACGTGCACGGGAAATTCAAAATAAGGTGAATATGTTCCTAAGTACTTTGAATTATGATATTAGTGAGCATAATTTACTACCTAATAGTTGCTCTTTTCTTGTGCTCAGATTTGAAGGAATGATATCATTGGAGACCGAAAGACAAGAGGAAGAGCTCTCTGATCCAATATTTTGTTTAATGGCACAAACCCATACCAATATTACCGAGAGGGAGGTGTGGAGGGATGGCACCAGCGACAAGATAGAAAAAATCAGCACCAACAACAAAGGAGAGTTGCTGTACCGGAAAACTGAAGATAAGAAGGAGAAGGCCCAACTCGGACTCGGGTAGCAGTCTGAGGTTGCCATACTAAAAGAGGCCCAAATCAGTCATACGGACTCCGATTGGGTTGTATGAGCACTTGTTGGAAAGATAACTTCAAGCCCGATCCAGATTATGCTCATGGGCTACAAGACTCGAAGCAGTCACATCACAATCATCAAAATAATTCGTGCCTGTAATATGTAGTTTCCAAATTGACTCCT